ACTTGTTGGGGCATCATCATCATGTGGTTCAAGCTCATCAGGGCCTTGTTCTTCGTCAGAGTCCATCGGAGTGGTAGGCTCGTACCCCTCGTCATGACCAGGCGCTCATCGTCGATGAAGAAGGTGGTTGTTCCAGTCCAAAGGTTGTGAAGTTCACGGTCACCTTGGGGGGTTTGCCATTCATCAGTGATTCTAAGTCGTTCAGGATTGGGTGGTCCTCTCCTGATGTTGGTGACTCGTTCAGCTTTGAAGAGATGTAGAGGAAGATCAGCTGAGGGCACTGGCACGTAGAGCTTCCTTCTTGGAGTGATATGGACGCGTGTCCATGTACGGCCATCATCACTTGCTTGCCAATAGTCAGGAGGCAAGTTGTTGACTGTCACATGGCCAACATCTCTGTCATCTTCACCTTCTTCTTCATCTGATTCCACTTCTTCTCGGCGCCACTTGTTGGTCTTGCCCAGGCCCACGTAGTTGGTGACGCCTCTGTTGCGGATGTTCTGCAAGGCTTGCTTGGCAGTGTCCAGCGGGTCTTTGGCAGCTTCGGTCATGTCTTCAGCAGCTTGGGCAGGCTTGAGGTGTTCAGGAGCTGCTCGAAGTAGAACGGTTCCATGACCAATCCAATAGACATCAGTGTTTGGGCCGCTGGGTCCAGGCTCCCTCATGATGACCGTAGCTGGTCCTCTCCATCGGAGTTTGGCCGCTGATCCAGCTGGTGCATCACGCCAGTAGTACCATAGATCTCCAGGTCCAAGAAGCGTTTGCTTGCTCATGAACTTGCGCAGCAAAGCACGTCGAAGACGTCGGTCGCCATCAGCTTCAGCAGTTGCTTTGGCAGCTTTTTGTTGGAATCTCAACTTTTCCATAAACCTGGCTGAGGGATCTAAGTGGGCTGGATTGTTGCCAGTCTGCTCCTCCATCAAAAGTCCAGGGATGTGAGGAGTGTAGCCCAATGTCCACTGAATCGGACTGAATCCACAAACATTTGGCGTTCTGTTGATCTGGGGCACCACATAGTTGAGGGCTGTCACAAGCCCTTCAGGGTCAGAGGCAACCGTCGGGTTGGCCTGCAGGAAGATGGAGACAGCACGGCGTGTCACTTGATGTCGCCGTTCCAAGATTGCCATTCTGGTGTGGCTTTGGCCTGGAGAGATCACCAGTTGGATGCCCTGCTGAGTGCACCATTCTCGCATTTCGTCTGAGGACCAAGCACGGTGTTCATCAACTTGTAGTACTTGCATAGGACCAAAGTTTCGGGTCCAAGCTCTTTCAATCTGCTTGATGAACTCCTCAGACTTCTTGCCAGCTCGAAGGTGTCGTGCTGCGATCAACCTTGTGGTGCAATCAGACATCATCAGGACAGGTTGTTGGTGTCGCTGTCCAGGAACTGAGATCCACAGCGCGTCAGCTTGCACACGCTGGTTGAAGCAGCCGCTCTTTGGCATAGAGGAAACAGGAACTCCAGTTGGCCGGCTGTGCATGTCACAGAGGGCACATTCATGTTGTTGAGCTGCTTCAATCAGGGCTGCTGAGGCATTCTTGGACTGTAACAGTCGCACCAGCTCCTTCTTGTTTGGGTGGCCCAGGTTGCGGTGCAGCCGCATCACAGTTCGCTGGGCATGTCGCCAATCTTCATCATGAAGTCTTTTGAGGACTCCTGGTCGTGGAGCTGCTGGTGCTTCTTCAAGCTCTGCAAGGTTGGGAGGTGTGTTGTCCTCCTCGTTGATCGGCTCGGCCGCAAAGAAGTAGTCCTTGTTGCCCTTGTACTCGAAGATCTTCTCGATGGCCTGGCAGAAGTAGTAGCACATCACAGGCTGGTACTCTCCAGCAGCTTCAGCTCGTGAGCCAATTCCAGGAGAAGTACCTTCGATGGGCAGCTGGTAGTGTCCGCCAGGGCATTGTCGGCTCAAGTCCATGGCCATTTCCTGGTCGGTACATCTCAGTCTTGTTGTTTTTGATGTACTGGTCCTGGAAGTTCTCGTCGGGGAGAGTGCGGCCAAATTGGCATTGGCCGAAGACAGCATCATGGCCTTCAAGGCTTTCCAAAGTCTTCGTCTTCCAGGACAGGGCATTCTTGGGTTGTTCAAGGCCTGCATGTCGGCCTTCTCGCTGTTGGCGTTGGTATGCACGTTCGCACATTCGTAGATGGGTCACCTCCTGGTACTCCCAGCGTCCAAAGCTTCTTGACGTTCAGGAGTGTACACATTCAGGTTCTGCAGGGATGACCAGGCTGTGCACGGTGGGGCCAGCCATACAATTCTGGGCAAACTTGTTCTTGAAGTTGAAGGAATTCATGGCGATGTAGCGCAACTTCAAAGTTCCATCCATGCTGAAGGTCAAAGCACATGACTTCCCAGCCTTCAGCCTCCATAGTTGTGGCCAAGTTGCCACTGCCGCTGGAGACTTCCCAGAAAATCTTCTTGTTCTTCTGGTGCACCATGAGTGCTTGTTCTAAAGAGGCTTTGCGCTTCCGCTTCTTGTTGAACTGGTTGAAGTTCATGTGGAGGGTCTTCATGAGCCGGTCAGTGATGGGTCGTCTCGCTGCTGGTGGATCCTCGTCGGGTGGATCAGAAGAAGGCTCATCCTGAGTCGTTTTCTCCTCCTTGATCTCGACAGCTTGAAGTGCAACTTCAGGAGGTGGTCTTTGGGTCGTGGCCAGGTACTCATGGATGTTGACATAGTTGTCGAGGTCCTCATAGTTATCCATCGCGGCGAGGGTCTCGTCAGTGATGTAGTCGAAGGAAACATGTTCTCCTTGTGGGTCAAGTTCAACTCCATCATCAAGGCGAAGTAAATACTCGCCCTTCTCGCCAATGGGGACGTCAATCCAAGGTCCACCAGCCACAGTCATCTGGTTGTCCTGGCAGTTCATGTTGATTTTCAAGGCCTGCAAGATCGGCCTACCAACCAGCAGGGGTGTAGCACCCTCAATCACAAAGCACTCCATGTAGCCGCAGTTGCCACCGATGTAGACGGGCAGGCGCACGCTCCAGTCAGCACGTCTGGAGGTGTCACCACCAAATCCAAACATCTTGTCGGTCGCCATGAAGAGGTAGCGATCCACAGAGAGTCCGCGTGGGGTCATGTGGTCCATGATGCGCATGAGCGTCTCGTGACCCACGACGACAGAGCTTGCACCACCATCTTGTATTCCATACCATCCAGAACTGCACAGGTGAGGAAGGCCATCAGCATGTTGTTTTGCCATGTCGCGCACCATCATGGCACTGCCGTCGGTCTTGGCCTTCTTGCTGGGAGAGTGCGATGGGGATGCATTTGTGCTCTTTGAAGTCGGGCTTGATCTTGTAGATCCCTGCGGGCAGTTGGCTGCCCAATGGCCAGTTTGGCCACAGCGTAGGCACTTGGAGGCCGCTTGACCTCGTGCTTGTATTTGTCGACCTTTGGATTGCCAGGTAGAAGGTCCTTTGCGTCCCTTCTTTGACTTGCCCTTGCCCTTTGACTTCGGCTGTCGTGGCCCTTGGCTGCTTGGAGAGCTCGGCAAGGAGCTGTTGTCAGCCAATGCCACAACAGGGTAAAAGCCACGGCTGGCTTTCATGTTCGCCATCTGGCGACGGGCGTCCAGGTAGGTCGCATAGATCTCCTCATACTGTTGTTCAGCTTCAGCCTAGTGCTCGTCGTCAAGGTCGTGCTCCTCAGGTGTAGTAACCATCTTCGTAGTTCTCGTCCATCTCATAGGCTTCATCATCCCATTGTTCCCAGGTGGACGTATCGTCCTCAGGCTCTTCAGGCCATTCATCATCATCCATCTTGTAGGCGTCCTCCACCATGTAGTTCTGGTTGCGGGACCATCTGGAAGCACCGTAGCCCTTACCAGATTCCCAGCTTTTGTTGTCGCTGGCACGTCCCTTGTAGTCTTGGCCGAACAGGAAGTAGAGGGTTTCCACAACTGAGGTCTGGGTGAACGCAGATGCACGTCCTTGGACCATTTGCTTCTGCCCAGTGGAGAGTCCAGCTGGTCGTAGAAGTAGCCATCCAGCAACTTTGTCTGCTATGCTGATGCCATGCTTTCCATCTTCGGCCAGAGCTTCACGGTGGTCAGCCGCGTAGTTGATCATGGTTTGTCCTTCTCGTTGATGAAGTCCAAAGAAGAAGCGCTCGAAGGCTCTGGGCGTCTCGACCTGGTCGTCGTACTTGAAGGTCTTGTCCAACTCGGTGAGGATCATCATGAAACCATCATCTGCTTCGGCAGCCTTCTCAGCGATCCCCTCAATCTGCTTCCAAGCGATGCCACTGAGGGATGTCATCAGGTTGATGGTCGCCTCCTTCTGCTTCTTCTTCAGGTCGCTTTTGCGCTTGTAGAGGAGGATGCGTTGTCGCCATTCTTTGTAGTCGCCCGGCTTGTTGGTGAAGATCGGGATGTAGGTATCCTTCACAAAGTCCACGCCATTCATCGGAGTTGTAGCAGCCGCTGAAGTCATTCTTTAAGAAGTAGAGCGTAGCGCCCGTAGAGCTCGACGATGATCGGCCAGAGGGGCAAGAAGACCAAGCAATGCTCACCAGGTGAAAATCTCGGAAATGATGTAGGTTGGATGTAGTGTTGGGCTCGTTGGTGTCAAAGTTCAGGTTGAAGGGGAGGTAGTTGGACTTGTCCAAGGTAGGTCGCCCCGGCTGGGGCTCCGCTACCAATGTTGATTCAGATGTCACCAGGCCTCACGAAGTGCAAGTTCTCAAAGTAGCACCGCCTTTTCCACAATGGGCCGCGTATCGCGGTGCCAAGGCTCAAAGCCCATGGGGATTCCCTAGCAGCGAATGAAGGAGCAAAATGGTAAAAAGGTGAAATGATGTATGCTCAATTGCGTGGCGCACAATTCACACGTGGTATAAACCATCAAGATATGTACGGTTTATTATTGATTTACCAACATTTTTCGCTTAAACATTGAGTTCATTAAAACCGTTGAAAAAAGAAGGTGGCCCAACCCTGGCAGGCGGAGCTCCAGCTTCGCAACCGAGAAGAGGCACAGCTGGTGAAGAGCTGCATGGAGATTCGGGAGGCACAACTGATGATTTTCACGTGGAAAAAGAAACAGTGGAAACCAGGGAAAATTGGAAAACAACAAAAATCACTGAACATCATCAAGGCTTTCTGCCAAGATTGGATGGTTTGGCACCGAAAACGAGCAATGTGCTGGATCCGGACATGCCTCATTATTGAGCCAGGTCCAAGTCGGCAGCTTCCAAAACCACATGGTATTGTGGTTCTCAGACTGATGATGGACCATGCGGTTTCAGGTTGATGCCAAAGTGCCAGAAAGTGCCAGAAAGTGCCAGGTGTTGGGGCGCTTGGAACAAGAAGCCGCGCTGGCATCTCAAGAGGCGGGGCAAGGTAGGGAGTGCCTGCAGTTCCGAAGCAGTTGGCCCAGAAACTGTGAGACTTCAAGATCTGGTCCCAAGGAATCCTTGGGTTGCAAGTTGATTCAAGTTGTACAAATTTGCAACTGTTCTCACCATGATTAAGCCTTGATAGTCTTGTCTCATGGAGGTTGATGCCAAGAGTGACGATGGCTATGTTGGGGGGACCGAGGGTCTGAGGCTTAGATCCGAGATGTGAAGGACGCTTCCAAGTGATCAACGCTGTGGTTTGGTATCCCCATGTATCCCCGAGATGCCCCAGCAAAAGGCAACGCACTTTTTTTGCAATACACAAAGGTAGAGACAGAGAGAGGGAGAGAGAGAGAGAGAGAGAGACTGCGCTCGGAGGTGTTGATCAAAACAAACTGCAGGAGGCCATGGCCCTGAGTTGGACACAGATTGGAGATATAGATTTATCACGTCTGCCACAAGGAAAATCAGCAAACATGGCGCGCAGTTGCGAAGGCTTGGCAACTGCAAGTGGAGTTGATCAACGCCAAGGAGGAAGTGCGCCAAATGCGTCAGCGACTGGCTACTGCGCCTCGTCATGGTGCATCTCAGGCATAGATGGATGTAGATGGATGTAGGTGGATGTAGATGGATGTAGATGGATGTAGATGGATGTAGATGGATGTAGATGGATGTAGATGGATGTAGATGGTATACATTGATATTGCTAATCGCCCTAAGCCTCCTGATACAGCTTTGACAAGCTATCTTGTACTTTCCTGCTGTCTTCATTTGGACAAGCGACGTGTAAATAGCACACGGTGCAAGGCCCTGCCACCAAGGTCAAAGCCACCGGTGAGCTCTCCAGCCCGAAGTCGTTGGGGCCTTTGGACCTTTGATGACGTTTACAGTCTCTGAGCGGAAAAGAAGCTGTTAATCCCCATTCCTCCATGGTCGCTCCGCCAGGTCTCTGAGCCCAGGTGCCGGCTGGTCCGAGTATGCTCAGGCGTGCAGAAACCTGTGATGTGGGACAGGGATGGACACTGTGCTGGTTTGTGGGCTGGTTGTGTTGCGAAACATCTTTGTGGCACGCATCTGACTGTGGCCAGAGATCCTGGACTGCCTGATAAATGTAGCTGATCCATGTTCAGATTCAGAGTTTAGGCCTTGCAGGGGTGTCCTGGAAGTGATGAGCGAGAACATGCGAGAAAGTAGCCGCATTGACGGAAGTGTTTGCACAAAAAAATTCGCGATTCATTTCTGGATTTCCTAGGGCCCGCAAAGTGCTTACAAGCCGTACCACAACCAGCATTTTTGGCAATCCCAATGGACCTGCAACTCCTCGCCATGGCTATCCCTTCAAAAGCTTTGCTTTCATGCTGTGAGTCATTGGCAGGTGCCTTCAATGCCTCAGTTGGTCCTTGAGCACGAGACCAGCAGAGAAAGGCACCGAATCCATAGCATGGTGTTACAGCGTCCCCGTTTGTGAGCTTTGTGCAGGTGTTAGCAATCTGAAATTGCGTGTTGAACCATGCCAGGCAGATTCGGCAGTCTTGTCAGTCCTGCCTTTTATATAATCTTGTGGAATATTCCATCGTTTATGCAAATACCATGCGTGTGACACACACGCACACACGCGCACACACACACATATACAGTATACATACATGCATGCACATGCATGCACATGCATGCACATGCATGCACATGCATGCACATGCATGCACGCACACACGCACACACGCACGGCACCCACGCACGCACGCACATACACATACACATACACATACACATACACATACGCATACGCATACGCATACGCATACGCATACGCATACACACACATACACATACACATACACATACGCATACCCATACCCATACCCATACACATACACATACACATACACATACACATTCACATTCACATTCACATTCACATGCACATGCACATTCTCATTCTCATTCTCATTCTACTTTTTCAGAGGTGGTTGCGCCATCTATTTAACAGTGATTTTTTTTAAAAGGATATGTACCCGAAACAGCAAAAGCGCCCAGAAGATGGCGCAACCCTACATGTGCAAAATGGGCCAAATTGCGCCATCTACCCCATTTTTAATTTAAATCCCTTCTTCCGGGACCGGACATTTCGGTCATCAAAGCGTTGAAAAAATAACGGGGATGTGTGTTCAACAATAGTTTTTCTCGTTTTTTTTTCACTACTAAATAGATGGCGCAACCCCCTGGGACAGTGCCATCCGCTTGTGTCATGGAGAGAAGGGAAAAGGGAAAGGAGAAAGGGAAAGGAGAAAGGGGAAATGTGGAAAGGAGAAAGGGAAGGGGAAATGGAGAAGGGAGAAAAGAGAAGGGGAAAGGGAAGGGAGAAAGGAGAAAGGAGAAAGGAGAAAGGAGAAAATGAAAGGGAAAGGAGAAACGGAAAGGAGAAGGGAGAAAGGGAAAGGCAACAGGATTTTTCTTTGGGAAACCATAACTGTGGGTTGCGCCATCTATAGGTTACCACTGCGTTCCATTTGTAAAGGAAAGGGGAAAGGAGGAGGGAAAGGAGAACAGAAAAAGGAGAAAAAGAAAGGGAAAGGAGAAAGGAGAAAGGAAAAAAGGAGAACAAAGAAGGGGAAATGGAAAGGAGAAAGGGGAAATGGAGAAGAGGAGGGAGAAAGCAGAAAGGAAAAAGGAGAAAATCAAAGGGAAAGGAGAAAGGGAAAGGGTACATGATTTTTCTTTGGGAAACCATAACTGTGGATTGCGCCATCTATAGGTTACCACTGCGTTCCATGTGTAAAGGGAAAGGAAAAGGAGGAGGAAAAGGAGAAAGGAAACAGGAGAAAAAGAAAGGGCAAGGAGAAAGGAAAAAAGGAGAACAATGAAGGGGAAAGGAGAAAGGAGAAAGGGAATTTAGAAAAGAAAGGGGGAAAGGGAAAGCTGAAGGTGAAAGGGGAAAGGGAATGAGAAAGGGAAAGGGGAGAGGAGAAAGGGAAGGGGAAAGGGAAAGGAGAAGGGGAAAGGAGAAAGGGAAAGGAGAAAGGGAAAGGGACAGTGAAAGGAGGAGGGAAAGGAGAAAGGAGAAAGGAGAAAGGCGAAAGGAGAAACGAGAAAGGAGAAAAAGAAAGGAGAAAGGAGAAAGGAGAAAACGAAAGGGACAGGGATCATGATTTTTCTTTTGGGAACCATAAATAGCTGTGGGTTGCGCCATCTATAGGTTACCAGCGCGTTCCATTTGTAAAGGGAAAGGGAAAGGAGGAGAAAAAGAAAGTGAAAGGGAAAGGAGAAAGGAAAAGGGGGAAGGGAATGAGAAAGGGAACGGGGAAAGGAGAAATGGGGAAAGGAGAAAGGGAAAGGGGACAGGGAAATGAGAAGGGAAAAGGAAAAAGGAAAGGGACATTGAAAGGAGGAGGGAAAGGAGAAAGGAGAAAGGGAAAGGGACAGGCAACAGGATTTATTTTTTTCGGGGGAAACCATTACTGTGGATTGCGCCATCTATAGGTTACCACTGCGTTCCATGTGTAAAGGGAAAGGAAAAGGAGGAGGAAAAGGAGAAAGGAAACAGGAGAAAAAGAAAGGGCAAGGAGAAAGGAAGAAAGGAGAACAATGAAGGAGAAAGGAGAAAGGAAAGGGAATTGAGAAAAGGAAGGGGGAAAGGGAACACTGAAGGTGAAAGGGGGCAGGGAATGAGAAAGGAAAAGGGGAGAGGAGAAAGGGAAGGGGAAAGGGAAGGGGAAAGGGAAAGGAGAAAGGGAAAGGGACAGTGAAAGGAGGAGGGAAAGGAGAAAGGAGAAAGGAGAAAACGAAACGGACAGGGATCAGGGCTTTTCTTCGGGAAATCATGACTGTCGGTTGCGCCATCTATAGGTTACCGAACCGTTCCATTTGTAAAGGTAAAGGGAAAGGAGGAGGGAAAAGAGAAAGGAAAAAGGAGAAAAAGAAAGGGAAAAGGACAAAGGGACAGGAGAAAGGAAAAGGGGGAAGGGAATGAGAAAGGGAAAGGAGAAAGGAGAAAGGGGAAAGGGAAAGGACAAGGGAAAAGGAAAAAGGGACAGGGACATTGAAAGGAGGAGAGAAAGGAGAAAACGAAAGGGAGGCAACAGGATTTTTCTTTGGGAAACCATAAATAGCTGTGGGTTGAGCCATCTATAGGTTACCAGCGCGTTCCATTTGTAAAGGGAAAGGGAAAGGAGGAGAAAAAGAAAGTGAAAGGGAAAGGAGAAAGGAAAAGGGGGAAGGGAATGAGAAAGGGAACGGGGAAAGGAGAAATGGGGAAAGGAGAAAGGGAAAGGGGACAGGGAAATGAGAAGGGAAAAGGAAAAAGGGAAAGGGACATTGAAAGGAGGAGGGAAAGGAGAAAGGAGAAAGGGAAAGGGACAGGCAACAGGATTTTTTTTTTCCGGGGGAAACCATAACTGTGGATTGCGCCATCTATAGGTTACCACTGCGTTCCATGTGTAAAGGGAAAGGAAAAGGAGGAGGAAAAGGAGAAAGGAAACAGGAGGAAAAGAAAGGGCAAGGAGAAAGGAAGAAAGGAGAACAATGAAGGAGAAAGGAGAAAGGGAAAGGGAAAGGAGAAAGGAGAAAGGGAAAGGGAATTGAGAAAAGGAAGGGGGAAAAGGAAAGCTGAAGGTGAAAAAGGGAAGGGAATGAGAAAGGGAACGGAGGAAGGAGAAAGGGGAAGTTAAGGGCAAAGGGAGAGGAGAAGGGAAATGGAGGCTTGGAAACTTTGGACTTAAGAATCCTTGCATAGATGGCGCAACCCTGAAACATTTTCTGGCATAGATGGCGCGGCCCACAAAAATAACGGGGATGGATGTCACGCCCTTTTCGGGTGTCAAAATTCAAAAAGTCGGCGCCATCTATACGCGCACTTTGGAAGAGGGCGGAGCCATCTACCTTGAAAAGGGTGTAATCTTGTGGAATATTCCATCGTTTATGCAAATACCATGCGTGTGACACACACGCACACACGCGCACACACACACACATATACAGTATACATACATGCATGCACATGCATGCACATGCATGCACATGCATGCACATGCATGCACATGCATGCACATGCATGCACGCACACACGCACACACGCACGGCACCCACGCACGCACGCACATACACATACACATACACATACACATACACATACACATACACATACGCATACGCATACGCATACGCATACACACACATACACATACACATACACATACGCATACCCATACCCATACCCATACCCATACACATACACATACACATACACATACACATACACATTCACATTCACATTCACATTCACATTCTCATTCTCATTCTCATTCTCATTCTCATTCCCATTCTCATTCTCATTCTCATTCTCATTCTCATTCTCATTCACATTCTCATTCACATTCATTCATTCATTCATTCATTCACTGACTCACTCACTCATTCACTCATTCACTCATTCACTCATTCACGCATTCACTCATTCACTCATTCGCTCCTTCACTCATTCACTCCTTCACTCATTCGTTCGTTCGTTCGTTCGTTCATTCGTTCATTCATTCATTCATTCATTCACTCATTCACTCATTCACTCATTCACTCATTCACTCATTCGTTCATTCGTTCGTTCGTTCGTTCATTCATTCATTCATTCGTTCATTCATAGATACATTGGTACATAGGTACATAGATACATACATACATAGATACATACATACATACATACATACATACACATACACACATACATACATACATACCTAGATAGATAGACAGATAGACAGATAGATAGATAGACAGATAGATAGATACATATATAGATAGATAGAAAGATAGAAAGATAGATAGATAGGTAGATAGGTAGGTTGATAGGTAGATAGGTAGGTAGACAGGTAGCTAGGTAGCTAGGTAGCTAGGTAGCTAGGTAGATAGATAGATAGATAGATACATACATACATACACACATACACACATACATGCAGTCATACAGACGTACACACACACATACATACATGCATGCATACATACGTACGTACATACATGCATACGTCACGTCACGTCACGTCACGTCATGTCACGTCACATGAGATGACATGAGATGAAATGAGATGACATGACATGACATGAGATACCATACCAATACATATACATATGCAAATGCATATGCATACATAGGTATTTATATATTTACACATACATATACACACACATATATATTTGTACATATATATATATTTATACATATATATATTTATACATATATATATATATTTATACACATATATATATTTATACACATATATATATTTTTACATATATATATATACATATATATATATTTACACACACACACATATATATATATATACACACACGCACATATGTATATATATATACACACCTACATCAAAGACAATCTATTTGCATTTCGCGATGCCCACCAGATTCCAACAACCATCCAGCTTTGATCGGTGAGGCCTCCCAAGGTTTTGTTTCTGGGTAACACCAGAAATATTCATGATATTCATAGATTGCCTTCTGTGCTCGATATTTTTGCTGCCACAGTTTGTGCCAGAATGTTGATTGTCCCATGGGATGTTTTTTTTCCAAAATTGCGCAGAATCATACCGAATCATACAGAATCATCCTGGTAGGTTTTTTTTGACCTTAGCAACATTTCTTTTAAATCACGGTGGCCAAGGCCTACAGCTGAACTTGTTGGCTCAAACCAAGCGTCTGAATGGAAAGTAGCTGGGGCCGATGACAGTGCTAGCGCTCCAGCCTGGATCTGAGCGTTGTGATGCTGAGGCCTGGCAAATGTTGCAGATGAAATTTGCTGATCCATGCCCTCTCAGGTTTTTGTTTTTTTCTATACATTTCCATGCTAGCAACCGCACCAAGACTAGATCCATTGGTCCATCGGCATGCAGACGCTTACAGGACTGCTGTCCACTTCGGCACCGCACCCAAGGTGTGAAGAACCGAAAGGGCCGATGTGGGGCTCATACCATGACAGTGCCAATCCATGACAATGTATGATGCACGTCCTCAATATTCAGGTGCTTGGAAACCTTTCTTCGTGATTCGGTCTGTAAAAGATAATGAAACCAACTACCCCCACATTCGTGGGACGATGACATTTATTTCTTCATTACAAGCAGCTACTTGTTGCTGAGAAATGGGTCAGAATCCCTACTCACACCTACGTTTTTCTGTGAACGAGGATGCCTTGAAAGATCCTGAAGCTACCACCACAATTTTATGGCTCTTTGAAATGCAGGCATATGGCGTCGAATTGGATCCCAAAGACAGCGAGCAGCACTGTGGTGTGGCCCAGTGCAATGGCCGCACGACTCGCTTCAGATGCATCAGACTCTGCATAACGAGGCAGTGACAACCGACGACATGTCACTAAACTGGAAAAACATCGGGCTGTTGACATCATCACAAACAGCAACAAACAGTATACCTTTGTCATCCTTCGGACCAAAGCAGACTAGGTGAGGTATGACGCAATCGATCCGCAGCCATTTTGTTTGAAAAGTGAATAGCTGTCCCAACAGAGCCAGCGGATACAGTGGTACTGTAGGTGTTTTAACTTTCAGCATGGGCTGTGCAAATTCCACTGCAGAAATTCCGACGCTTGGTGGCTGGGGATGCTTTTGCTTTTTAAATAGCAGCAGGCCCACTGCGCCGTACTATCACAACCTTTTACAGTGAAAACCTCTTGTTGGGGACGGATGTCCATCCCATATATCCCGCACAATATCGGTTTAACCTTGGGTGTAGCGAAGACTGGGCTTCTCAGCGGTGGAATTCATGGTTGAGGGATCAAAACTACCAACGACGGAACTTGTGTGAACACGGGATGGATCTCGTGGGCTACTTTTGACATACGATTGCTGTTTGAATCATCCACTGACCTCACCCATGTGGAGCAAATACTGAGAGAGACGCTTTTTGGGTTTGAATTCTTTCAACAGAGTTGTATTGTTCTTGAAATGTCCCGCCTACTAGCACATGGAACGGAGAAATGAAGCAGCTTGTTGATACCCTCGGCTGCTGACACTTTTACCCTGGTGGAGCGGTTGTTCTTTACTGGCCTTTCTTAGCTGAACTCTTTGAGCTGGTGATGCGGAGAGAGACAGAGAGAGAGAGAGAGAGAGAAAAACGGTGAGTAGCAACGGGAGCGACGGCCACGAAAGAAAGAACCACAGCAAAACCACAGCCAACCGCGACTTAGCTCTTTTCTCAGGCATTTCCTAAGCCACCAATGGTTTAAACCCTAGCAACGGAGCCAAACGCTGTAATTAGTCAAACCGAGGCAAAGTCATCTCCTTGTTGGGCCTGTGTGTCTTCCCGAGACAAGGACACAGGCTGAAAACCATGCCGCAAGCTCATGTTTCCAGACGTTTCAAATGAGGCCGACGAACTCGCAAAAGGACAGGACGCAGATCAATTAAACTAGCACCAGAACACCACCGGAACCCGTCAGTTTCCATGTTCACCTGTTCCACGGACCCGTCGTATTTTCTTACTTCGGATTTGTGCCTTTTTGATCTTTTGCATGTTCTGGTCATTCCCCTCACATCAGCCCTTACGACAAGTGCCCCACAAACTACGAGCCACAGGCAACTTGATCTCATCCCCTTCACCTGCTCTTCTTTCCTGATTTCGCCTTTTCTTCCACTTTCCTCTTTCTCCCTCTCTCCTTCTCCTGCGCGGAATTTCTCAAGAAGCATGTGCAAACGAGAATAACGAACATGCTTTTAACATGTGAGGGGAGACCTTTCTTTACCTGCTAGACAAGACAGAAGGGAATCTCAAACTTAAACTTGTTCCTGGAATTCATGAACGCGCAGAAAAATAGTTGACAGCTTTTGAGCAACTGCCACGCGAAAGATGAAGTTCTTTGAACCGAACTTGGTCCCCCTCCCTCCTCCTGCCACTGCTTCTATCGCAGCTATCCTGTGCTTTATCCTCACTCCGCAGCACCACCCACAAGGCCTCTGTCTGCGGAAACAGCATTTCATGTCCCTGGTTTCTTCTCATAATTTACATCCGCGGGCTTGTTTTTGAAAGGATTGAATATGGCAGCATTCCTATCCTTTGTGAACTTTAGCTTGGACTTTTGCCCCAAGCCCCTGTTACATGGTGTTTAGGGAGTTTAGGGGGCCTTCTAGCTCCGTAGCTAGGATTGAGCTGGCGGAGAACAAGGATACTGAGCGGCTGACGGTTTTCAATTCGAAGTATGTGGTTCCAGGGCCCAAGAACATGATGCTGCACCTGAAGGCCCAAGTGTTCTCATTCAGTGGCGACACCTACAAAATCAAGGATTCCAACAACGAGAACGCGGTGGGGGCCCTCTGGGGGGGGGTACTGCGCTTTTTGGTAACGGAGGGAAGTGCCATGTGACTTAGAGTAATAGACAATCACAAAGAGCAGTTGGCAGATAGCAGGATGCATCAGTATGCATCAGTATGCATCAGGATGCTCGGGTTCGTCGATGCCCGTTGATGTCCGTTCACTTTCGTCGCCTGAGGTGGTGTTTCAATGCCAGGGCAAGTTCTTAAGCTTCGAGCACAAGCGTGTGATTTGCGATGCGGATGGCATGCCTATCTTTGTGATCACAGAACCCTTGATGCAGATCGATGACAAGCAGGTGGTGCATCGCGTCACTCCAGAGGGCAAACCCAGTGAGGAGTTGTTCCGCGTGGGCTCCAACTTCGGGAATACCGCTCAGTACACGCAGAACCTGAAGAACACAAAGGGACATGCCATCACACTCAACGGGAAGATGACTCTTGTGAGCATGAAGGGTGGCATTTGGTTGGGGCCTGCAGGCAAAGGCAGGCCGCTCCAGAATTGCATCATATTGCATCCTTGTCTAGGTAATTTTATGTATATAATTGTCCTTTTAAAAATGCCACTTCTCTAATTGCAGTGAGTACAACCACTTAGGATTCACTTAGGATCTGACATGATATGACCAATTTCGCTATGGTGGTATCGCAGCATGGGTTTGCCCTTCCATGTTGTGGTTGTCATGATGTGCATGGGTACAGACACCGTTGATGATCGTGGATGCAGTTGTTCCAGTTTCCGCTGATGCCATGACATGAATGATAGTGATATGTTGACAGTCAAAGGTGTTGCCACCAAGAATCTCCCGAGTACGGCCTAGAGCGACCAGTGCTTACATTGTTGGGGTGTGGAGTGTAGAGACTATTTCTGACCCCATGCCCAGCTCATTGTTGGTTGGATGACGGTCACTGTTGATGAAGACATTTTAAGAATTATAAGAATTGCTTTCAATATTTTCCACACCTTTCCCACTTTTTCTGACCTTCTGACAGGTCAAGCAGTCGCGAAAGTGTGCAGTCCTGTCACCTACAAGGACGAAGCGGAACTGCCATTTGCCTTGGGTTGAAATTGAAGAGAAGTGCGACGGGTCAAAGCGGATTGGGCCCGAGTGGATGGTGAAACCATGTTTGAAACCTGCTCATTGAAATGGCAAACGTATAAAGTATAATATCTTACAAATACCATGTTGGTCCTAGACCAATCGTTAATCAGAACGGAACAAGTCAGCAATTAGGCAATTAGGACATGGAATAGGATTACAACTAACAAACTGGTTGGCTGGTACAGCACGCCAGTGACTCCAAATACTGTAGACATGCTGGAAGACTTTCGGACCCTTCGTCTATAGCATTCTTGTATGTTGTGGGATAGTTGGACTTTGGAACATAGATTGGCCGGACAATATGAACAATATTCCTACCTGGCAGGGCCAAGGCTATGTTTCAAGCCTGCTCATTGAAATGGCAAACTTTCCGACATGTTTCCTTCACTTGAGCCTCCCACGTGGGGGGTTTATTTGATTCTTTCAACATATTGTAGCTCAAATATACTCAAATCACTCCCTGATCAAACGTCTATGACGATTATTATGGCTGACGCTGACAATGGGGTTGAAAGGTTCCCTCACTGCAGGACTTCCTTCCCGATGACTTCGACCGAAATGATTACATCGTGGAGATCCCCCCAGGTGTTGACTCCGCACTGATCCTTGCTATGGTGTTGGCATATGAGAAGATGGAGCAAACCTACGACTGCTGATTCTGCACTAGTTACTAGTGAGACGTCGGAAAATTCAGAGACTGGAAGGGAGTGCAGAGCTACTCTGTCAATGTGCAGAAGTGGATGCACTTTCAAGAAGGTCATGCATAATTGCATAATCTGCAGTCACGGATATTGACCACTTGGCGTGTAACAACTGCTTGAATGGCTTTGCATTTCCAGAGGAAAACCTTGTCAAGGATAGGTTTGATGTGTGAGGTCACTTTCTGTGAGCTGCAGTGTTCCAATCGCTTGTGCATACCTGCCGCTAGCTGGACTGCAGAGACCTGAAAAGCATCGCATTGCGAAGTCAAAGTGGTCGATTCCCAAAAGGGTGAGGACGATACATACGAGTTCAAGCCGACATGGGCATTGCTAAATTGTTTGCTTGAGGATATTGAGATACCGTTGAACAGTATCAGTTTAAAGCTGCACGAACCCCCAAGCACTCGAGGCAAGTTGAGTGAACGGTGCAACCAAACTGCACTGCTTGTTGGGTTTGTTGCCTGTACCGTTGTATCCTGGGCTTTGCGCTCCTCGAGGCTTCAGATGTGTGCCGCCTAGCCGCCCGCCTCGATTTTAGACAGACTGCTCGGTTGATGATTAAAACCATTCGGCCAGAGGTTGCGCTATACAGTCTGTGATCAGGGATGGGTTTGGATGCACATGGCAAGCCCAATGGAAAGTGTAGGTCCAGCGGAGATGGCTGATTTCTATTGATTTCCTATAGAGTGGGGGTGCCTGTTGGGTGAACATGTTTTGCCGAATGGTTGCAGAATGCAGTCTGTCTGACCGACACAAAAAGATCGGCCCTCATTGCCTCGCTGGGGGCATTCCTAATCCAAGGGATCATGTCCAGTGCATCACCGATTTCTATGCTTTCAATGATTTTCAACGTGTGTGTTTTGCGGCTATGAGGGAATCGGTCTTTCCAGTGTGTGTCCTCTTATGCGCATGCCCTCTTTCAATATCAGACTGGAATGATGCATGCAATGTGAGGTGTCACGGTATCCTGGACGCTATTGCCTCTCTTCTTTATTCTCCTGGCAAGGCTGCCTATTTGTGTGTTCGTCTTGAGGTGTCTAACTGTACAAGCGTATAAACCTGTATAAACACGTATAAACACGTATAAACATGTATAAACATGTATAAACATGTATAAACATGTATAAACATGTATAAACATGTATAAACATGTATAAACCTGTATAAACCTGTATAAACACGTATAAACATGTATAAACCTGTATAAACACGTATAAACACGTATAAACATGTATAAACATTGTATAAACATGTATAAAACTGTATAAACACGTATAAACATGTATAAACATGTATAAACCTGTATAAACACGTATAAACACGTATAAACATGTATAAACCTGTATAAACACGTATAAACATGTATAAACCTGTATAAACACGTATAAACACGTATAAACATGTATAAACATGTATAAACATGTATAAACATGTATAAACATGTATAAACCTGTATAAACACGTATAAACATGTATAAACATGTATAAACATGTATAAACCTGTATAAACACGTATAAACACGTATAAACATGTATAAACATGTATAAACATGTATAAACCTGTATAAACACGTATAAACACGTATAAACATGTATAAACATGTATAAACCTGTATAAACACGTATAAACACGTATAAACATGTATAAACATGTATAAACATGTATAAACCTGTATAAACACGTATAAACATGTATAAATAAACATATATAAACATGTATAAACATGTATAAACCTGTATAAACACGTATAAACATAAACGTATAAACATGTATAAACATAAACACGTATAAACACGTATAAACATGTATAAACATGTATAAACCTGTATAAACACGTATAAACACGTATAAACATGTATAAACATGTATAAACATGTATAAACCTGTATAAACACGTATAAACATGTATAAACATGTATAAACATGTATAAACCTGTATAAACACGTATAAACACGTATAAACATGTATAAACATGTATAAACATGTATAAACCTGTATAAACACGTATAAACACGTATAAACATGTATAAACATGTATAAACCTGTATAAACACGTATAAACACGTATAAAAATGTATAAACATGTATAAACATGTATAAACCTGTATAAACACGTATAAACACGTATAAACATGTATAAACATGTATATATAAACATGTATAAACATGTATAAACATGTATAAACATGTATAAACATGTATAAACATGTATAAACATGTATAAACATGTATAAACATGTATAAACAGTTATAAACATGTATAATCCTGTATAAACCTGTATAAACACGTATAAACATGTATAAACATGTATAAACATGTATAAACACGTATAAACACGTATAAACATGTATAAACATGTATAAACACGTATAAACATGTATAAACATGTATAAACATGTATAAACATGTATAAACACGTATAAACATGTATAAACATGTATAAACATGTATAAACAGGTATAAACATGTATAAACATGTATAAACATGTATAAACACGTATAAACATGTATAAACATGTATAAACATGTATAAACATGGGATCTGACCATGTGACCAATGGCGGTGAAAAAGGTGTCGCAGAAAAAAAAAACATGTATAAACATGTATAAACATCCCGGCGGACCGAAAAGTGAGGTCGTGAAATACGTTTTTTTTTTTCAAAAAATCATCGTTTCGCCTAGGCGAAAACACAATTCAGCGATCACAAAAACTCTGAAATTCAGACGTCTGAATTTGGTGTTTTTTTAGATACATGTGTATTTTGCCTAGGCGAAACGCAATTTCTGCTTGAAACAAGTTCAGGCATGCTCAGCTGTCCGCACCGTCATTTTTACATCTCTTGCAGTTTGGACACCGTGGCTTTTCGCCAAGTTTTTGTACGTGCGGATGAATCTCCATTGCCACATGCCCCACCCCACCCCACCCCACCCCATCATCAGCGTAGCATCAAGAACCTCAGCAAGTTCACATGAACGTTAACATGCACCACCCCACCCCACCCCATCATCATATCAGCAGTCATTAACATGCCCCATAACCCCACCCCATCATCAGCGTAGCATCAAGAACCTCAGCAAGTTCACACGAACGTTAACATGCCCCACCCCACCCCACCCCACCCCATCATCAGCGTAGCATCAAGAACCTCAGCAAGTTCACACGAACGTTAACATGCCCCACCCCACCCCACCCCACCCCACCCCATCATCAGCGTAGCATCAAGAACCTCAGCAAGTTCACACGAACGTTAACATGCCCCACCCCACCCCACCCCATCATCAGCGTAGCATCAAGAACCTCAGCAAGTTCACACGAACGTTAACATGCCCCACCCCACCCCACCCCACCCCATCATCAGCGTAGCATCAAGAACCTCCGACTCGAAAAAGAAGCGTTTCGCGACCTCAGTTTTCGGTCCGTAGGCATAAACATGTATAAACATGTATAAACATGTACGCTGCAACCCTGACTTTGCTCCGCGTCTGACTTCAGGTGGCTATGAAGATAAAGCTGATGTTATTACCCAAATCAATGAACATATTGTTCAACGGGGGGTGGCAAATTTTGATCCCTCATGAAGATAAAGTTAATGTTATTACCCCACCTAACATATTGTTCAGAGGGGGTGGCAAATATTGATCCCCCATGAAGATAAAGTAGATGTTATTACCCAAATCAATCAACATATTGTTCATAGGGGGTGGCAAATATTGATCCCTCATGAAGATAAAGTAGATGTTATTACCCCAACCAACATATTGTTCAGAGGGGGTGGCGAATTTTGATCCCTCATGAAGATAAAGTTGATGTATGTTGATGTTAGTACCCCAACTAACATATTGTCCAGAGGGGGTGGCGAATTTTGATCCCTCATGAAGATAAAGTTGATGCTAGTACCCCAACTAACATATTGTCAGAGGGGGTGGCGAATTTTGATCCCTTATGAAGATAAAGTGAATGTTATTACACCAGTTAACATATTGTTCAGAGGGGGCGGGCGGATTTTAGTGTGATGATGATGATGATGATCATCATGATGATGATCATGACGATTGTAAGTGTGGAGCAACGTCCGGGTTCGGGCGAACATGTATAAATAAACACGTATAAAAGTGTATAAATATGTATAGATGTGTATAACATTTTCTGTTTTTTTTCTATCTTCCGTCGGCTAAATATTCATTCGGATTCATTCGTTCGTGTCGGGGGTGATTCCGTTCTTTGGAGGTGGCAAGTTGGTGATTCTCGCCCGCAGCTCGGAAGCCAAGAAGTTGGTCAATCTTTATTCGTTGCCGCATCTCGGGGCCCTCGGGGTCGGGGTCGGATCTTTGGACTATTAGAAGTTGAAGATATTGAGAGAGAGAGACAAATATAGCAGAGAAATTTAGTATGTCGGCATGTTTTTGCTGTTTTGCTGTTACTTTGCTTTTTGTAGGCACGGGGCCATCGCGTGCCATCGAGTTGGATGCCAAAGAAGGCGAGCAACAGTGTCGTGGGACCAGTGCAATGGTTGCACGGCTCACTTCAGATGCATCAGATTCGACACAACGAGGCAGCACTGATAACATACGAGCACGTGACATCACCTTAAACAGTATACTTTTTCAGGACCCAATCCCCAAAACGGACAAAGTGAGTTATGATGCATGTGGGATTTATCCGCAGCTGCTTTGCTAGATACATAAGTGGCTGGTCCAACCAGTGGTAGGTTTTCAGAGTTTTAAGAATGGGCTGTGCAGCCTCCACTGCAGAAATTCCGACGCTTGGATGGGGATGCGGGATACTTATGCAATCTTATTGATTCTTGAAGAAGCAGTTGCGCTGCACTGTACTCGACTGTACCTTCAAGAGAAATGGTGACATTGACAGTAGGAACGAGCATGAAGATGCATGAAGCACGAAAGAAGCAGCAACACCAAGACGTACTGCTCTTTTCTCAGACTCTTCCCGT